CTGGACTTCCTTGTTTAGCCTCAAAAACTCTGAAGGCCACAGCAAGACAGTCACGTCTGAGACGTTCTTCTGAAGCTCACTTCACAAGGAAAGTCTTGGCTGAGAATGTAAACATGCACAAATAATGTCAATATTAAGTAAACAATAGATGTTTTTTTTGAGAGGCTGGCATGTATTGCTCATCGTTCCCTGGCAACATCATACTTTTGGAAAGCACTAATCATTTCTCCATACTTCATTACTTTTACATTTACATAGCTGTAAAACATTTTGCTCAGGCTTCATTTCAATTAACCTGAGCGAACTCTGTAAACTGTACGTGTTAGATAATATTACACACAGCAGACAATACAGAAACACACACACACACGCTTTTACACATCCTATCTTGTGTACACTTGAATGGCGTACAGTGGAACCATAGATTTATGTTTCATATCATCGCGTCTGAGCCAATATTGTTTCTTCCTCTGCAAACTGAGTCTCCGCAGCAGACGGAGCTTAAAGAAACCAGACAGCAAACATTTGAGCAGCCGCTCCTGCGCTAACGCTCAGTCATTTGCAAAAGTGCAGATGTACACACAACCAACACGCTGACATGTGTGCACGTTTGCTGCATGTATGTACACAGTTTACGCAGATACATGCTTTACATAAACACACTGATGCTTCTATAAACAGACAAACCAGCCAATCTGCACTCGCTGAATGAAATTCTCAGTGTATAAAGAACATAAAGAAGGAACTTTGACCTTCTCTTGGTTTATCATCTTTTCCTTCATTACACTGTTCTGTCTCTGTACCGCTGAGAGTCTTGGCAGTGCTGCTGGTGCATCCGCCCCAGCTGCACATCATGATGAATAGTATGCGTATCGTAGTTTAACACTGAGGTCCAAACATACACGAACCCAGGGTCAAATTCAGTAGCAACTTTCAGTGATTTATGGCATTTGTGTTAAGTAATTGGAGGAAAAGATGTTCATCACATCAGGGCCCTGTTTCAGAAAGCAGGCCCAACAAACTCTGAGGCTAATCCCGATCTCCGAGTTGACTGAGCTGGAGCTGGAAAACTAGTGAAAAATTAGTGCGTTCACGGCGAGCACCAAAAGCCATCATCAATGGAACCCAGATAACATGATTCTCAGTGGTAGAAAGAGGAGTTAAAAGCAGAGCCATTTACTTCACCCCAACTGAATTGGAGATTTCAGTGACTGCATATATGGGCATCGAATATGTCTTCAAAAAATAAAAATAAACGACAGCTGCGGCTAAACAGCGAGAGGTGTGACGGGAAAAGACTGCAGAGCGTGTTAATAGATAATGTGAAGTGACGTTATGTAATGTGATGCGTTAATGTGTGTCTAATGTACAGAAAATATACGAACATTTTTATACATTAACAGTGTTCATATATTTTGATATAATTTGCTAGATCTGCTTTACTTCTGGTTTACGGTTATTTTGACTTATAATTTGTATTTTTTCAATCAATCAATCAATCAATCAATTAATAAAACTTTATTTATATAGCACATTTTCATACAATAAATTGTAACACAAAATGCTTCACAGAATAAAAAGACAAATGCACCAGAAGAAGACCTAAGAAAACCTAAAAATAAAAGTGTTAAAAAATAGAATAAGAACAAATAGAAATAGCAATAAAATATATAAATAGAAATAAAAAATAAAAATAAATAAATATATATAAAAATACATAAATAAAAGTATATAGATAAATAGAAATAAATTGCTAAATAGATAACTTTAAAAGCATATAAGATATATGACTAAAAGTTATCAATAAGAAATAAATAAAGGATTTAAAATATATGACAATGATAAAATGTCTAAAAAAGTTCAATAAATAGATGAGAAATAAGTAAATAAATAAGAATAAATAGATCAGTAAAAATCAACTAAAAGCCAAACTAAAAAGGTATGTCTTGAATTTGCCTTTTTACTATTGAGTTTAAAATGATTAATGGCTCTGTTTCCATGTCTGGCTCCTCCTCTTTTCCATTTTGTTCATGTCTAATTTATTTTTATGGCTCCAAACACAAAAGGTCTTGTTGTGGCTTGAATTTGTAGAATATTATTGTGCAAAATTTTCTATGAAATAAAGATAAAAATGGTTTGTTGACATGCAAATGAAAAAAAAGAAAGAAAGAAAGAAAGAAAGAAAGAAAGAAAAAATGCAACAAGTAGTTTTCGCATTTTTTTCCTCTTTTCTTTTGGTGGTAGGTCGTCTTCACTGGTGCTTTGTTGTAATTTGCTCTAGGGCTGCAACGATTAGTCGACTAATCGATGACTAATCGACTATAAAAATAATCGGTGACTATTTTAGTAGTCGACTAATCGGTTTGAGTCATTTTTCATAGAAAAGTACTATAAAAGTACCCCAAAATACTCTTACTGCAGCTTCTTACATTCAGATATTGGCAGCTTTACACACTCTCCCATAAAACTCTTTGGCGTAAGTATGAAACAGACATTAGATGACATAATTTTGGGGTTTGGGAGAGACAGGCCGACATTTTTCAACATTTTAACACATTTTTCAATAAAATGATTAGTCGACTAATCGAAGAAAAAATCGACAGATTAGTTGACAATGAAAATAATCGTTAGCTGCAGCCCTAATTTGCTCCGTCCATTAAAGCGATCCATTGTCCCACTCATGGATTTCTCCTTTTAAATGTTATCATCCCTCACACTGGCTGCCAATCAGGGCTTTTGATGTGTCACACACTTAAAATTCCCAGGCATGGTGACAAATAGATTCCCTGTGAGGTTTTTTTATGTTAAATTAAATTAAATTACATTTTTAGCTCTTAATTAGAAAAACGGTGTGCACAACATACTGATACAGTCAATTCATAACTTTTTGTATAGGCCCAGTTGAATATCGCAGTAATAATGTGTGGTTATCACAAAATCCCACAGCACATCTGGATTGGCATCACGGGACGCCATTTGAGAACCACTAATGCTTTGATCACACACACTCAAACGGGACAGAACAAAATTAGTCTGAAGCTTAAAGGGACACTTTGCTGATTCTGAACCAGCTAGTGCGGTGCTGATAAATGTTCTCGCATTTGTATAGCACCTTTCTAGTCTTACGACCACTCAAAGGGCTTTTAACACCACAGTCACCTATTCACACACTGGTGGCCGAGGCTATCGCACAAGGTGCCACCTGCTGATTTAGACATTCACATACAAATGGCACAGCCATCAGGAGCAATTTGAGGTTCTGGTCATGTAGCACCAATTTCAAAAGTATTTGCGTCTTTTAACAGAGACAGCCTAGTGTTATGAAAACACCATCTTTTCATCAGTGAAATACCAGAATAAAAGGGCAGAGAACATACTGTAGGTACATTCAGTCGATGACTCATAGATACCTCATGTACAGTATGTAGCCTTGGATATTCACTGTACATAGAAGTGTTTACACAGTTTGCTGAGACTTCATTGTTTTTTATGAATTGTTGAGCTCTGTTCTTGATCTTTGAGACGAGATATAAGATGCTCTGTGGCTCTTTGAGAGCAAGAACATTGTGTTAAAACTGTAGAAAGTCAAAAGTTAATAAAGTTCATTCCTCTAATGGAAATACCATTCATTCCCTCATATAGTGCCTGTTTTGTTCAGGTTGTACATTACATTTGCAATGCAGGACTCCCAGACTGAGCCAGGCTACTTAACCTTGACAAGAAGCTCTAGTTCTCAATATTGGTTTAACCCTTTTTCTGCATTGTTGGCGTTCTCCAGTTCTTCCAGGCTGTGGGTAGTAAGCGGGCTACAACATTTGTTTCTTCCTCTTCATTTAAGTGCAGCAATACAGTACGAACACATCCAAATGTAGGCAGAATTTATACTTCTGGGTTTAATCGACGCCATAGCTATGCCGTACTCTACACACTAGCCTGACGTGCACCTCCCCAGAAATGTAACTACACGTCACAGCAATGCAGAAGCTGAAACTATATCTCTTAGGGGAAAGGAAGCTTTTATTTACTTTAAATTCACAGATAAGAAGCAATACATTGTGTAGATATTAAAAACATCCACAAAATAGCATATAGGTCTTGTGTGTGATTTATCCTGGCTTCGTATGAGCAGCGGAAATCTCCTCTCTCGTCGCTAGGCTAATGTATACAATGTAAAATGCCATAGGCTTGTGCTAATAACATTAGCATAATATTTGTTTGGAAAACATGTTTAGTATGAGACAATTGTTTTGTTGGTGAACCTTGTGAGTTGTAATGGAGCCAAATTTTGTGCCGTTACCTTTGTTCCATGTTGCTGTTGTCCCTGGCTTCAGCTTCATATGAGTAGAGGAAAAGTCCACTCGCCGATTAGCTAATTTATACACTGTAAAATGCCATAGGCTTGTGCTAATAACATTAGCATGTTGTAATGTTTGGAAAACGTGTTTAGTCTAAGATGGTTGTTTTGTCGGTGAACCTTGTGAGTTGTAATAGAGCCGTATTTTGTAACGTTACCTTTGTTAAATGTTGCTGTTGTCCCTGGTTTCAGCTTCATATGAGTAGAGGAAAAGTCCACTAGCCGATTAGCTAATTTATACAATGTAAAATGCCATAGGCTTGCGCTAATAACATTAGCATATTGTATTTGTGAGGTAAATGTGTCAAGCAAAAGAGTTAAAGTGAAGCCAGTTTGTGTACTTGTGTTTGAAATTGTGGCTATTAAGCCATGTTTAATGTGTGTTTTTGGTGTGTTTTGACTACACTAAACTTTACAGCACTTCACAGACACTCCGCCGCCGACTAGTGTTTTGGAGGTGTACTATAAATGACAATGAAATAATAATTTACCAGTTATTCAAAAATGCTGAATCTGTCACTACTTAAATATAAATAATGTACCCATTGCGTTAAAACCCCAAATAACCCCAAAATATATTGTGTGCAGTAATTATAGTTACATTGGAAATGCCTGTTATAATATGTCCATGTTTTTATGTGTGCAGGTGTCATGTGCATCATTGGCCGGTGGGGAAGCTGCTCAGGAGGGGACCAAAGGAGGCTGGGCTGCGTGTCTGGACCCCAAGTACAGCCTGACCCACAGAATACAAAGCAAACACTGCAGGGTTTACTCTTTCGGGTGCGTACAGACACTCACTAACTCATGCCAAATATCTTCCTTTATTCTTCCATAAATCTAATCCTAATTGTATCGCTTATACAAAAACGACTACAGCCTGTACACTAGCTTTGAGACAAGATGTCATGTACAGTGTCTGTAGAGCAACATTAATTTCAACAGTCAGTGAGTTATCTGCAGATGCGACAGTTATTCAGAGCATCTGCTTCTCTGACAGGCTGTGATATATCTAGTCACAATTGCTGCTGCTGTCACTTCAGCCATGACAATTAAGATTTTTCTCTTAGAGGAGAACTTCAGGTTTTTTGCTCACTGTTTCTTCAAAGAATGAAGGATATTTTCAACACAAAAGAGGAGGAGTATCTCTGCCTGCACGTCCCTTGTTAGCCTTGTCTTTTTATGTCTTCCAATTTCAATGACTAATTGGTCACTGAGCCTGTGTTTATTCAGAATCTCTCTCTGACAAAGTAGAAGTAATCACTTTATGGCAGGTTGCATTTAGGCTTCTTTTTCTTTGTGTGGTTATGGCAGTATTCTGGACAATTTAATTTGTTGAGTAACACGCTAATAAGAGGAAAGATAATCCTCTGTCTGCTTTAACTGTACCTGGAACATCACCTCCACTCCACCTCTGCTTCCTCTCCTTGAGTGGCAAGTAATCTTGAACGGAGTCAGCCAAGCCACCGAGGTATTTGACCTTCTTAAGATTGGAGAGTCAATCACTCCCAGTTGGCTTTGTGTCGTGGATCAGCTCGGCCCGGTTTCCGCCCCGCTGGGCCTCCGCTGTGCCTCCGCTGTGCCTCCGCTGTGCCGAGGTGCCGTGGAGGTCTGGAGGGGATTTTTCTGCAGGAGAGATGGAGCTTATTAATTTGACTGTTGAGAGACAGCACAGGTGTGCTGGCATCAAGGCAGGCCGGGCACAGATACTGATGCAGGAGGGGAAGAGGGGGAGAAACTGCTGTTCCTGTCTTCTTGCCTCTCTGTGGAGAAGGGGGTCAGGGGTCAAACGGAGATGCTGGAGGAAAACATACCTGATATCCTCTGGCTGACTGACGGGAAGTCAGTCATGCAAGAAAGCCACATGGACATGCACCTAAAATAAAAAGGAATATTATGCGTTCTCTCAGTGATTTATGCAAACATTTTAACATTTGACCTGAATATCAGCTCGGGAAAATGTGACTCACAGCTTTGATTTTTCACGTTGACGGAAGCTGCATTACCATTTTTCCTCTATCTAACTGATCCCTTAAGACCTCCGGAATGAATTCAATTTATGCTTAGTCGACCCTCAACTCTCGCTAATGTAATAACAGTGAGTTGACCTAAAAACTGAAATTCTATTAAAAACAGAAACTTCATGAGGAACAAAAGAAAAGTCCTCAGAGCCAGAACAGTTGAGCAAGACGAAGTGATCTCTGAAGTTCCACTTTTCTGGATACGGCAAGTGATCTTCTCCTCCCCTTGTCCCCTATCTGACCTACGTATAGTATGTACACACACACACACACACTTCATGGTCATACTCCTGAATGTATGCCAGGTATGCTGAGTATCCTAATCTCAGGAGACTTCTGCTCTGCTGTACAGGAGACTCACAAAACCCTCATCCACAGCCCACTGCTGCACTGACTTTAACACAAATGTCAAACACCATCATGTGTACGTGTGTGTACGATATTGAGTTCAGTGTGTTACTGAGTATGTACACTTGTGTGTGTACTCTTATGAGCATGATTTGGTGTGCGTTCGTACAGTCGATATGTCTCATTTGCATGCGGTTTAACGAGCCGTGGAAGGCTGTGCCTGGGCAGGATGAGCAGCTGTTCTCTGATTGGTCTGTCACATGGTGGTGGATGGAGGGTGGGTGCAGGAGTGGGGGGCTGCAGGATATTTTTCCACATGAAAGATCACTCATCCTCCACCTTTCACCTCTCGTACTCTGTCTTACCTCACTCCTCATCCATCTTCCTCCTCTTATACCGGTTCCAGTCTGTTTTGATCATACAGTCTTTTTCGCCTCATGCGGGAACAGCGCAGATGCTCACTGTAATCAATAACTGAGAGGATGAATCATCCATTGTCATAAACTAGAATTACCTCTTTGCAATTGTGTGCCTCTGTGGAACAGTCAAACTGCAGTAACAGTTACATCCATGTCTGTCCAGACTCATATGTAGCCATGACAGTAGACAATGCTTCAGATTAGGATGTTGCTGAAGGTGGACACCCAAGATTAGAGTCACCAATTCAGTATCTGACCAAATGTCACCCCTTCTGTTCCTGAGATATAAAGTTGACCACAAAATGTGTGTTTGCAGAACATAATGATGTCACAGTGAAGCTAACCTTTGTGGATTTAAAACATTGTCACATCATTATTCATTGTATTAGGCATTTGCGTGAAATTTTCATCATAATTAGGGCATGAATTCTTGATTCATGGCCAAAAACATGTTTTGTGAGGTCAGTGTAACCTTTAAACACCAAATTCTAATCAGTTCATCGTGACTAAAAGTGGACATTTGTGCCAAATTTGAGGAAATTCCATCAAAGCCTTTTGCAGATATCACATTCCCAAGAATGAGATAGACATAAGGTCACAGTGACCTTGACCTTTGAACCCCACATTCCAATCAGTTCAAGTGGACGTTTGTGCCAAATTTGAGGAAACTGCCTCCTTCTTGAGTTATTGTGTTTACAAGAATGAGATGGACGCAAGATCACAGTGACCTTGACCCCTTGAACACCAAAGTCTAATCAGTTCATCATGACTCAAAGTGGATGTTTGTGCCAAATTTGAAGAAATTCTCTCAGGGGTGTTCTTAAGATACTGCATTTAAAATTACCTGGATCTTCTACATCGTAGAGTCCATTGAGCAAGTGCAGTAGCGTTTCCATTAACCGTAGGTGTATATGTGACTGAAGCCAAGGCTACACTGTTAAATTTAGCTTAGAGAGCATTTCTGTCTTTAAACAAGCACACACATTATTGTGCGTGTGTGTGTCCTCCAAGGCAGCACTGGAGGGATTAGGAAACGAAATACACATTTAGATGCTAAACAAAAACAAAAGCATCTAAATAGCTTGAACAGTGTCAACATATCCTGAACAGTAGACCATATGCAGGCATAATTTATGTTTTACGATGGCTTTGTGGTAACCACATATATCTTTAGACAGGACACTGTTTTGACATGTGATTACAGGAAAGGCACAGGTGTAATTTAATAACATTAATAATAACTGTATATTTCTCAATTTGTAAAATAGCAACGCTTGGTCAGTGGCACTTAAAGTCAAAATATGCTGTGCTAGGTACCCCTCTTGAGTCTGTTACAATGTAGTTAATAGACTTAACTTTTAAGTTTTTTTCCTTGGGTTTGAGCAACAAAAGCACATTGGTTCAGTTCAGTTTAGGACTAGATGTTTCAATCCCTGATGCACATACTGAGACTATGAGTAGGAGTAATAGTGCCGTCTGGGGGTCCGAATGGGAGCCAAAGGGTTAGATGGATAGGAAAGTAGGAAAGAGCAAAGGTAGATAGGGAGGGTAAAAGCTTCATTGGGGTCATCAGGTGGGTACCCTCCTTCACTGGTGTTTGGGTGATAGGTCCACGGCACCTCCAGAGGGCTCATCCACAACACCTGGCATCCCAGGTGTGCCCCTATCAACTTTTACTCCCTCAAACCCTGCTGCTGTTAGTGGTATTTCAGGGCCCGAATTGCATCTTTCCTCTTGATCCATAGCCACTGGTTAGCCTGTTCCGCTGCACCAGGGAGGACTTTGATGGCCTGATGCTGAGCTTGGCCTCGAATTCCTTTTTCTTTAAGCAGCCTGGTAGTTGCCTATGAAGCCTCGTTAGCCCACTTCAATTGGACAAACTTTCGCTTTCCAGCTGCATTGCTCAGTGTCAGCTGCCAGCTTGGCATCCATAACTGTGAATTCGCACCAAAAGCGTCATGAGCGCTATAAGCGGCCGGCAGCCATTCATTTTCAATGTACGCTTGCTACGAAGGGCGTCAGGGGTGTCGGCTGCAGCGAGCTGCGCGATGCCAGCGACCAGAGCGTCAAGTAGAAGTTGAGAGAAGCTGATCTTTATGCAAATGAGCAGTGCCGCTGCCGAAGCAGCAGCCAATTGCAGACCGGGATTCAGGTACGGAGGTCTGGGCTCTCCCGGAGCTGTACGAGCCGGTGAAATTCACCGTGGAGTTGCCGGGTTTGCAGGACTCTGTGTAACCCAGACGGCCCGGCGGCTCCGGGCCCCGTGTTTCCTCAGCAAATACGCCGATGCAGTACAAAGGAGGCTTCCGAAAGTGCGATTAATGAGCTCCCGCTTATTTACCACCAATTACATTTCTCTGTGGTCCTACGTGCCAACAGGACTCATAAAGGCTGTATTGACTGTGTTTATTAGCGTTATTTTAATTGTGCAATGAAAGTCATGGATAATACAAAGTGAAGACATAAATGATATATTTGTTCATCCTTGTAAAGTGAACAGCCTGGACACATCTGCAGCAGCCAGCCCCGCCCCTTTGGCCGCTACAAGCGCCTGCTGGAGCTGCTGCCAGGCAGCGCGATGCCAGCGACCTGAGCGACCGCTGGCACTCATGACGCTTTTGGTGTGAATGCACAGTAAGGCTCTTGCGCTAGTAGGCCTACTCCACAGCATCCTCCCATGGCACAGTGAGCTCAGTGATGCAGACGAGGCTCAGTGAGAAGGACCAAAGCACGAGGTCTGGTCTGAGGTTAGTAGAGGTGATCTCAGATGGAAAGCATAGATGCTGATTCAGATCTGCCAGTAACCTCCAGTCTCGTGCCACTCCCAGTTGGCTGGTGTCTGATTTTACTGTACAGGCCTTGGATTGCTTCACACCTGCGCGGACAAACCCTCTTGTAATTGCCGGATGGAATGATGGAGGACGTAGAGCATTGATGCATGTCCGTCTGGTCTCCAGGGTAGCTTCTAGGTTTAGAAAAAAACATGGTTTGGCTG